AGCATTCAGGGGTCAAGGTCAGCTCTGTTTTATGTGAACATGTAGGAAGGACCAGCAAAGGTGCTTCCTTTAACTTCCTTTTGCCTACCAAATGACTTTGGCTTCTGTTGAGCTAAATGCTAAACTGAAAGAATAACAAAAAAAATGTTACTATCTCAACTTTTATCAGACTTTAGAATGGGTTAAAAAAAGGCAGAGGCTTGCTAACTTCACTGAGACACACTGGTATGTTATGCTCTGAGCTCCAGGAAATGTCTGATCTTGCCCCAAAATACTGTCTTTGCATTTCAAGGGCAGCTCCCCAAGGACTTGGAGAGCTCTGACAGATAGGCCCTCTGCTTGAACCATTTCAAGGAAAACTAATCATGAATCTACATGAACGCATAGGAGTGTGCCATCCATGTGCATAAGATCTAAACAGGCCTAGAAGGGGGCATTAATATGTGGGAGAAAATGTTCCAGTGGCATTTGTGACTGCACTTCTCTGATAGCTTATGGACACAGGCTATTTTGGACTGGTACCTCTCTAGAAATACAGACTTAAATAAACAAAAGTGCAGCCTCCACCGAGGTGGTGTTCGTCTGCAGGCCAAGTGTTTTTACAAAACGTGATTGGCCAGCTAAGAAGTGTATCCGCCTGGTGCCTCAAATTCTCAAACACTTTATTTGAATACCATGTGAATGGCTAATCTCCTACAAGTTTTGGGGCTTTAACAAGGTAAACAAATGAGTGGCTGTGAAAGTAAACACTGCATTTCCTCCCAGGCTCATCCTCAGATCCAAAATTCCACTCCCTCCGTCCCTTTCACTAGCCCCAGCCTTCCCCTTCCCAAGCTTGGTCTCTTGTACCCTGCAGAAGTACTGAAATTGCAAAGGAGACATTTTTAATTATAAGTACTACAGTAATGAATTCAAGTACACTCGTTTATCATAAAGGGCTTTCCCATCTGTCTCTAAAGTATACTTAAAAAGGCTGTGTATTTGATAACATTAGCACCGAGCATCTTCCACATGTTACTGTTCAGCATTTTAGATGTTAGCTTCCCGCACACACCCCACCCCCCCAACATGGTGGTTGTTCCAGAAAAGGCACATTCATCTCTGTGTTTGGGAGTGCCTGTGTGGTCTCTTCCTAATTTATTTGCACTCTAATCCTCAGGGATAGCATCCCAATCCCCGTAGGCAAAGGGAGATTAGGGAATGGGGCTGTCTGCTTCTCCCCACCCTAACAGAGAAGGGAAAACAACTTCCTCAAGTCCCTCAAGTTCATCTGGCCACTGTACAAATTGTTCTTGAGCATGGAGGGTTTCCAAAAGCCCTAATTAGCAACTCACAGCAAACATTTCTTTGCATTAGCTAATGATCCGGCTACACTTGTAAGCAAACAGAACCAACATATCTAATCAATGCTGAAAAACCAACCAAATGCCTATTAAACATCTGGATGTAATTTTCTAGTTAGAACAAAATGAAAACATATGCAGGTTCCTTTGATCTGCATCTTAACAAAGAAATTGTTGATAAAAAACCATACTGGTCAGTCAATGTGTCATTTTCATAAACTCTACTCGTTTCTCTTCAAATGCTCCCAGTTTAATTTAGTTGGTTTCCTGCAATCTCTAATTTTACCATATTGTGTGAAACCGCAAGAGATTCTTTGGATGTGATTTTATTTGAGGTTTTACTGCTGCATGGATCTGCTACTGATTTTTTTTTTCTTTCTTTGCTTTCTCTCCTCCATGCCCCACACCCATCCTGCTCTTTCCTTTGGTAAAGGTCTGGGGGAAAAGGTTATAAAGCAATGCTGGGAAAATTCTTCTGGACCCTACATTCATGGGTTTAATAAAACTCTCAGTTAAAAAAAAAGTCAAATGATAAAATGTATAAGCAATAACTCACAGCTAAAAGGAAGAGAAAATAACAAGTGATCTTCAGAAATTGACATACTCATTTCAAATTAAAAAGTAATAGATTTAAAAGTTGCATAATTGGGCGCCTGGGTGGCTCAGTTGGTTAAGCAACTGCCTTCAGCTCAGGTCATGATCCTGGAGTCCCGGGATGGAGTCCCGCATCGGGCTCCCTGCTCGGCTGGAGGTCTGCTTCTCCCTCTGATCCTCTTCCCTCTCGTGCTGTCTCTCATTCTCTCTCTCTCAAATAAATAAATAAAATCTTTAAAAAAAATAAAATAAAAAAAAATGCATAATTTCCATGACCAGCATCCATAGCTTTTTCTATTATGTCTAGAACCTATACGATATATAACATCTAGTTTTTGTAGTGACTTATGCCATTGGTTGAGTTGAAAATTTGATAGTCAGCAACAAATGAATGGAAATAGACCCATATGCATCACAGATAAACAATCTCGCAATCTTCTTGTTTCTTTGCAGAGGATAAAGAGGGGATTGTTTTTTTCAGAGATAATTTTCTATGGAAGTGGAGTACTTAATATCATTTCATGGAAAAACATCATCAACATATGAATATGTTAAAGGTAAAAAAGATTATGGTTAACAGACTTTAAATAGAAGACTAAAATGATAGATTTCATGAGTAGGATTATTTTTTTTTAAACAGGCTGTAGACAATCTGCACATATTTATTTAAAACATAAGATTAAAGCTACTTGATTGTTTAAACACCATCATTTGTAATGCAGTTTGATGAGAGTTTTGTCGTATAATTATTACAGCATGAGAATCACAGAGAAAATATGACCTTGAAAAGGGGCCCAGCCTTCTCCCTCTGTCAAGGAGGATGGGATGCACTCGAAAACCAACCATCTTTATGCACACAATTAAAGGTCTTCCAATTTTAAAATCATTACTCCTTCTTTTCTCCAGATACTACATTATAAGAAATTTAGAAGGCTCCTTTCTCAAAATATACCGTTTTAATTTCTCTGTTTAAACCCAATTACCAGTGTGTGCCAGTAAATCAAACTAAAGCTTGGGTAAGCCAGGGAGAAGTGTCAGTTGCCCCAGCTGACACAGCATGCACAGGCTTATTTGTGGCATCCAAGTTCCTTCTACACAGTCCTGGAGCTGATTATGGGATGAACTGACCACAGACTGACACACAGGGCCCAGTCACTAGATGAAGATTTCAAGGAACGCAGGTTGCCAAAGGACAAAAAACTTAGTTGCCCATGAATCATACTATTCCAAAAAGTCCTCTATGTGGAAAAAGCCAGCTCCAGTCATCACTCAATTCAACTTAGGAAAGAGGGACAGTGCTTGCTTCCTTTTCATTCTTCATGTTAGCAAAAGGAATACTATAACCCCCTCCCCAACCCCACTTAATGAGAACACTGCAAAACCACATGCCGAACTTGTTTCTGTGGCCTTGTACACGGTGGCTAAAATGACTCCTTTAATTTTTCATTTATAATTGATATTTGGGATTGATGCAATTATAGACAAATCAATATCATGCATATTTAAAAACAACCTCAACAGTGAAATGTATTATCTAAAATGATTCTTTTAATATTTCAAGAAAAAGGTCTCTGAGAAAGCAAATCTTCGAATAAAATGTATTTCTCTTTAAATAAATGCCTTTCCATAAGTCCCTTGAAAATAAAATAATGAGAACGTGAGGGTTATTAATACCCAAAACTTGTTAAGTATCTTCCAACGTAGGATGAGTGTTTGTCAAAGATGTCTTTCTTACGGAAGAACTCAACACCATTGGGCTACAACAGCATTATTCACTCACCAATCGTATGGAAATAGCTCAACCTAACTGTTCTTTCAACAAAAGTATAAATGCGGCAACACTGAAGGTGTTCTGCTATGTGGTCTATTTGGAGAAATACACAAAAACTGGAGATTTACCAAGTATGCCCCATTTATTTAAAATTTCAAAATACCTTTTAGGTCAAGTTCCACTCACAAGAATTTTAGCTACGTCATGTACCCAACGCTTCCCATTTAGCTCCTCACGCAGCTCAGCCCTGGGGTACCCCCCGAAGTATGGCGTAAGGGCGGGCAAGACAGGTTCCAGGTCTCCAAGCTGGTTTATCCCATTGTCTCCCTTTGTTTTTAGTAATTGGAAACAGACTCGGTCATGTTGCTGAGAGGCCCCTAAAACTCTCAGCGACTCCCTACCCCAGACCCCTTCGACAGCGAAGTCGAAGACAAGGACGGACCAGAGATTTCGAGCCACGGGCAAAAGCCTCGCATCTGCGACTGGGACGTGCGTGCCTTACCCTGGGAGCACCTTAGGGTATCCTTCCCGCCAAACGAAGGCAGGCCGACCTTTTTGCAAAGTCGTTTAAAATGCTCCAATAAGGGCGCCTGGGTGGCTCAGTCGGTTAAGCGACTGCCTTCGGCTCAGGTCATGATCCTGGAGTCTCAGGATCGAGTCCCGCATCGGGCTTCCTGCTTGGCAGGGAGTCTGCTTCGTCCTCTGACCCTATCCCCTCTCATGTGTTCTCTCTCTCTCATTCTCTCTCTCTCAAATAAATAAATAAAATCTTTAAAAAAAATGCTCCAATAAAAGCCAATCCCTACCACCTTGGGTGCAAAGGGGGGCGTGAGCATTAAAAGCCTAATCTTAGACGGCCGGTGTACGTACGCCAACCAATGCGCTGCCGCATTTTCCACCAAGTGCACAGTCCAACCCTTCTCACGAAAAGGCAGCTCAAGGAAAAACAATCCTCAGAGAAATTTTTGAATGTGACTTCACTTTCAAAAGAGAAGCATCAAACAAGGGGCAAGCACCGAAAGACGCATTTGGCTCGAACTACCAACCCCCCGCCCCCCCCCCCCATAAGGAACTACGCGGTTAGTCTCCTCTGAGTTACTTTCACGGAGATCTGATGATTTCCTTTAAAGGGAAAAGTGAACAAGTGGCAGGATTTTTGCAAACTCGAGCCCCTAGCTTCCGCGGCTGCACGCTCGCCGGTCCCTCCCGCTCGCGCGCTCCCGCGCGCACCCTCGCCGGCCCCACGTTACTTTGATTGACAGCCCGGCCCCGCCGCTCTCCTTTCCACCGACCTTCCCATCCACAGTGCCAAACTCCGCGTCTCGCCTCTTCCTATTGGCTGGTTTCGGCGTCCCGCGGCTCCTCCAGGAACAGTTCCTCACCGAGCCCGGGAGGACGCGGCTGGCGGAGGAGGGGTGGGGGGTGTGGGAGGGGAGACGGGGGAGACGGTGGAGATGGAAGCGAGTGGGGTGGGAGAGGAGGGGGAGGACGGCCCGTCCAGTGTTGCGCTGCCGTTGGCTTCGGGGAGGCGTTGCGTAAGCACCCCACGTTGGGCACGGCGCACGCGATTGGCTGGCGCACGCTTCCCCGCTTCCCCTCTGCTACCGCCCAGACCCACGTCCCCCGCCGGCTCTGCGCTCCCGCCCCCCGCCCGCGCAGGGCTGGGCGGGGCCGGCGCTGGTTAGCTCCGGAGTGTGAAACCGCGTGTTAATGTAACCGGCGCGAGAGGCGCGGGCGGCGGCGGCGGGAGCGGCGGCTGCAGGAGCAGCAGCAGCGGCAAGTACCCTGTGCCCCGCGTCCCCGAAGCAGCCGACTGCGCCACCCCCACCCTCTCACGGCCGGGCGGGACCCGTGCCGCCAGCCCGGACCTCCGCCGGCCCGCGGCGACCTAAACCCCGCCGCTACTACTCCGGACCGGTCCGCGGAGTTTGCCCGCCGGGTAGGGAGGCCGAGCGGCGGAGCGCACTCCTGCTTCCCCCCCCCGCCCCCATCTCGTGGATGTCGCCCCCCGGGTCGTGAGAGAACTTTGCAGCGGGCTGGAGCGCCCTTTGCAGAGAGGCAGACGAAGGGAAGGAAAGAAAGAGGGCCCAGGAAGGGGCTTGGAGGAACAGTCCGGTGCGGCCGTGCGGGGCGAGTGCGCGCGGGGCGCGGCGCCCGGATGCACCCCGGGATCGAGGAGCGGCGGGCGGCTGCGGGACTGCCCTCCGCGGTGTAGCCCCGCCGGGCCAGGAGAGTTTGTGCAACCGCGGAGAACACCGAGTGTCGGTCGCACGGGGCGTGCCGAGCCGCCTCCCGGCGCGCCCTCCGCACTTTCCCCGCCTCGTCGTCATCCCGCGCTCCTCCGCCCGGGCTGAGGCAGCGGAGCGCCAGGCGCGGAACCTCCGCCGCCCGGACCTCGCTCCTCACCGCCTCCCGGGAACCCACGAACGCCCGGCTGAAGGCGCTGCCCTGTCCCGCAGCGGTCGGTCCCGAACGTCGCCAGGTTTGTTTGTGTGGGGTTAGCCGGGGGCGCCGGGCCACCTGCACCTCGCCTGCGGCCGGCGCCGCGGGGAAAACCCGGAGAGGAGGCGGACCGGGAGAAGAACGAAGGAAAGCAGCCCGCCTGGATTTGTTTGCTCGGGACGGGGATCGCCGAGGGGAGCGCGGCCGGAGTCACCGCGCCCCCACCTCTCCGCCTGGGCAGCAGAGGCCCGCGGGTTGGATCACAGCCCCCGCGCGCTCTTCTTGGGCGCCGGCGTTACCGCGCAGGTTCTTGGTGCGTTCGGGCCCCGGGTGCCCCGCGATGTGGCCCTGAGCGAGGGAACCCGCACCGGCGGGAGCAGGAGCAGCCGAGTGGCCGGTGCGCCCCGCCGAGCGCGCTTGCGTGCGTGGCCAGCGCGCTCCCCGCGCTCCGGGTTTCTGCCTGGCCTCTCGGCTTAATTTTTCTCGGCGGGATTAAAGTTGGAAATTGAGCGGAGAATTGAGTTGCCCGGAAACAGAGCTACGGCCGCCGCCAGAGCGATGTTCCCGCAGAGCCGACACCCGGTGAGGCGCGGCAGGGTGCTGGGTGGAGGGGCCGAGCAGTGGGTTGGGGGTGGGGTGGGGATAGGCGCTCTTCCGGTGCTGTAGGGAGACGGGTGTCTGCTACATTTTGGAGGACCCCCCCAGCCTCTAGGGGTGCGAGGCTGGGGAGGTCGGGGACCGTCCCCTCCTGTGGTGGGGAGTGAGCTGAAACTCTCAATTTTTCTCCTTTACTCTGGGCCCCCTCCGAGTTGACGTCTAGACAGGGTGGGCGGGGGCGCCCGGAGAGGCTGAGGTTTCTTTCCCGTAGCGACAGCTTCCCCCTAACCTCCCCCCCACCGAGACGGGTAGGGCGCCCCCCCTTTGTTTCTTGTCTCGCCCATTTACATATCAATGCGGCCCCCGTTCCGGCGCGCCTGGAGGTGGCCCCGGCGACTCTGGGAACGGGGAACGTTAAGGAGTTGTTTTTCTCCTCCGATTCCCGGGGTCATTATCGCCCCCGTGGGGAGGGGGTGGTGGCTACGACGACAATTTGGCCTGGTCTTCCCCGGCCGCTGGGGAGCCCCTGTCTGTCCCTCCAGCCGGTGACCCCGGGCGCATGTACTACGACCCGCCCTGGAGCACGGAAGAGGCCTGGAATCTTTGGAGGCTCCGGATCCGGCGAGGGTCCGCTGTCCCCCCCGCATAAAGTGCAGCGCAAACTCGAGTTCAGGGTTCCGTTTTGCGCCACTTCTAACTTTATTTTTTGCTCACGTCCCACCTACTTCTCCGTCCTCTGACTTAACTGTTTTATCTGTTTACCCGCATCCCTGTCCCTCGGTTCCCCTCGCCGGTCGCCCCCAGACGCCGCACCAGGCCGCAGGCCAGCCCTTCAAGTTCACTATCCCGGAGTCCCTGGACCGGATTAAAGAGGAATTCCAGTTCCTGCAGGCCCAGTATCACAGGTGCGTGTCCGGCCGCGCAGGGCGCGTGGTAGTCCAGGGGCAGCCCCGTCCCCTCCTCGCGCAGCCTGGGGGCTGTGGCGGCTGTACTTAGTACTTGCGTCCAGGCGGTGGCGTGTGGAGTCGCGGTTAAGACCTGTCATTCATGTTACCCCCTTTCCAGGTTCTTCCCGGGCCGCCTCTTCTCTAGTCTCCTCCTCCTACCATTGTTTCCCTTTTGCCCGTTTGCTGCGGTTCCAAGGAGTCTTTTTTTTTGAGTATTTAGAAGTTGCATGAGAACCGTCAATATTTGCACTTCGTTTATTTATTTTGCAACAGGCTGAGCTGAAACCTTGGTTCAATCGATGCCCCAGCCCTGGAGTGCAGGTTTAGGGAGGCAGAGCCGGTGTTGAAATCGCTCTTTGCCTTACTAGAGGATTGTGTTGTCTGAGGCAAAGTTCGTTATGGAAGGCTATAAATGCTGTTAGCTGTGCCCATCATTGGTGGTGAAGAGGGAGGTGGATAGGTGTAGGGAAAGCTCCCCTTCTTTGGCGTCACTCTGGGTTGGTTTGGGCAGGACAGGGGACTGGAGTCTCATTTATATACATCCCAGCTTAGTCTCTTCATCTAATGAGACCTACTTCAAAAGGTTTGTAAATGAAAAGTGATTGTAAATTTTCTGGAAATATTAGTTTTTTCCCTTGTTCCTATGAAGTCTTCAATGATAAGAGCTAAGAAATAACTGTGTAATGACAGTTTTTATTTTTGTCAGGCTTGAGAACAAGCACACAGATGCTTGGGTGTGAATTTTCTTATTTTGTCAGAGGTTTTTCTGATTATTGACCTTTTGTCTGCTTGAAGATAATCATCTCTGGAACTTGAGGCATACCTGCCCACACTGTTTACCAAGCAGGGAGGACTTCAACCCACTTTATTGCAGTAGCTACTTCACATATTTTGGCAGGGATTTAAAAACCGAAGATTTTAAAAGGGACCAACAATTGTAGAAGTAACTTTACAAGTACAGTTTTCAAACCTAGAGACTGTTTGAGTTGGCAGAGATGGGACAGGCCTATGTCTGACGCTGAAAATTGTGCAAAGGCCAGATTTTAATGGAGTCCAAAGGAGCAAACTGGTGCGGGGAAGTAGGAGTGAACAGATGAGCAGGAGGAGAAATCAGTCTTCTGGGTAGATCAGAGGTTTTGACAGATTTTTCATTCTTGGCATCTGACCAGGTATGCACCAAGAAGAAAAAGAATAGTAGTTGAATGGAGACCCTGTCCTGTTCACCTGACCCCTTTTCTCTATAAAATGCAAGGACAAAGCTTTTGCATGTTTACCTAGATAGTTTATGGCTTTTCCAAATTGGTCTGTGTTTTTACTTGAAGTGCAAATATGTGAGGCAGATGTTAAAACAAGTGACATAATGTTTACATTAAGTTGCCTGTTTTGTTTTTGTAGCCTTAAATTGGAATGTGAGAAACTGGCAAGTGAAAAGACAGAAATGCAGAGGCACTATGTGATGGTAGGTATCAGAGATTAGACTTTTCTCCTTTTCATGTAAGATTAGCAAATATGTGTTCCATTCCTAGCATTGCAAAACGTGAGTTAACGAAATGCTTGGTTTTTTTTTTCTTTTTGCAGTATTATGAAATGTCATATGGATTAAACATAGAAATGCATAAACAGGTAAGCTTTAGTTAAATCTCTAGTTGAAATGAGAGAAATCAGTCATGATTCCATAAAACTGGCTTTGTCCTCAGTGGTGGGGGGATTTGTATGCTGTTTTCTTGCCTTGGTTTCCCTTCCTGTGAGTTGGTGGTAGTATTTTGCACAAGGGTCGCTTCTTGACAGTTACAAATCTTTAAATGACTAGGTGAGAGGTGCTTTGGAAATGTGAACCAGCCTGTTTCTAGGCTGATAGAAATTGAGTCTCTGAGTTGACTTTTCCACCTGGGTAGATTTATTCTCCTCTTGAAAGACCTGGGTATCCTGTAGAGTTCTGAAATTCAGAATAGCTTGTTTTTTTGCTGGTTTGGACAGCAGTGTGGTCTTATATTCAGGAGTTCCTTAAGCAGGTTAAACATCGTATACGACTAACTGAGGTTCTCTTCATGCTTCAAGGTTGCATAAAGTGACACTCAAGATTAGTGGCTTATTAGCAAACATCTTTTTGGAAAATTTCTCAATTGATGCAGATTTGGAGGTGAAAAAGCATTCTTTTATGGCCACAGCATATATTGGGAGTCGCTTCAGTCCTAGTGGTTTTAAAAGCATGAAAAGATTAGTGACTGGAAAGCTCTAGCTATGACTATGAGTTTGCAAGTTCCCATAAAATTCACACTTATGGCTACTATAATGGTGTATAAAAAGAGTATTGAGCTGGAACAAGGCACTAAGGACCTCATAAGAGAAGAAAAGCTAAATGATTGCTCAGCCCAAAGGACCCTCGATTGAGTAGTCATTGTCTGCCAAAGAAAGCATTAATGGCAGGGTGTAAGTATTCTGGAGATATGCTGACATTCACTTTTTCATCAAGACGCTGGTACAATAAGTCTTTTAGAAATCGATTGCCTCTTAAAAAATT